CTAAATAGCTTCCATCTCTCTCGAAGGGTTGCCGAAATTGCATCGTGGCGGACTCTGGACGTGGGAGGGGGAGGAGGAGAGAAGAAACCCGCTGGAAATCGTGTGGATCCGTTCGGGAGGACGAGAGGAGCGACATCCATTCATGAAGAGGCTCAGTCAACATTGGCCGATCAAGGCGTGCAGCATATCATTAGAAAGCCCTCAACACGATCTACAACAATTGCCTCGGGGTTGTCACAAATTGACGAGCGGATCGGACGCAATTTACGAAATACGGTCGGCGGACGAATTGGAAAATCGTGAATCGGGGAAGATTTAAAGCGCGGAAAAGGGATTGGAGGGCGGACACCAATAAAGGAAGTCAGGGCGCATCCAACAAGCGGAAAATCGGGAGAAACGGTCGAGTCTTCGTTGACGAAAAATCGGCCAACTTTGACGAGTTTAAGCGAACAGCTCGGACGCGAGATCCAAGAGCGCGATACACCATTTGGAACGGTCTCGGAGCGAGGATTCATCTGAATCAAACGGACCATTATTCGCATGTTCGAGTGGGGAGTTACGCTCCAATAACCAAGAAGGGGTGAATCTGCCCACATCGTCTTCACCGCCACCACCGTTGCCTCCACCACCACCTCAACGTCAATCTTCAGTGCCTCTGCTGCAAATGGATCATAAATCAGGCGAAGGGAAGCTGGAGAATGCGCCGAAGTTCGATGGGAGCGACTATTGGAGTTGGAGCTTCCGATTCAAACAATGGGCTGAGGCGCACGATCTATGGGGGTACTTTGATGGTTCGGAGGAGCGGCCTGCATCGAGTGACGCACGGTTGAAGTGGGAGAGGAAAAATCAGAAGGCATTCACCCACTTCTACAATGCCTTGTTGCAAGATGAGCTGATTCGCTTGGTACGGGAGTTCGGCGGCAAGTCCGAGTTGGGAACACCTGTTGATGGCGGAGCAAGAGCGGCCACCCGAGTTCCTACAGGCACACCAGCGGCATATACACGAGTGAATGAGTTTTACACACTGGGCGCGTGCCGAGGACTTGAGGTCCGAGTACTTGACTGCAGGGGGGAAGGAGGAGGTTGAGGAGTGGATGATGAGGGTACTCAAAGGACTACCTCCTCATTTTGAGATGCTGAAAGTGGTGCTAAACAACCAATCATCATCGCTCACTAAGGATCAGCTGCTTACATCTTTGAGGAGCGAGGAGATGCGGATTGGTGTCGCACCAAGATCGGATGGTGTTTCCACTTTTGGAGCGGGTACGAAAGTGGGCAGCAGCGGCAGGGGAAATTGGGACAAGGGAGGAAAGCATGGAGGCAGCGGTAGCAGCAGCGGCACCAACTCGGGCAGATGGGGTCAGGGAAAAGGCAAAGCAGGAGTCCTTGATTTGCCTTGGGGGTCCAAGGGCATGGCTCCTAGGGGGTTGTGTCATGGCTGTTGGGATGAGGGACATGCATGGCAGCGATGTCCTCACCGACCTAAAGGAGGAATTCCGACACTCTTACAGCGGGGGGGGCGTGGGTCCAACGGCAAGGCACAGGTGGCGGATGAGGAGGAGAAGGATGACAAGGCAGAGGTAGCGGTTGGAGAGGCATTTGCAGCAGTAAGAGGGGAGTAGCCGCGAGAGGGGTGGTGGATTGACAGTGGGGCCAGCCACAACTTGACTCCTTATGCATCAGACTTCAAGAGTAAGCTTGAGCCACCTGAGATTCGGGGAGTTAAATTGGGAGATGGACGAGTGGTGAAAGCGGTTGGCATGGGTGAGGTGCTAGTGGTTGGTGCTGGAGGTCAACTTCTGAAGATTCAAAAGGTCCACCTTGTGCCTGAGATGCACACGCTTCTGCTGCCAGTCCCACACCTCACCTCTCGGGATGTCATTGTCACATTCGAGGGCAAGAAATGTGTTATCAAACGGGGGGAGAGGGTGTTGGCGATTGGAGAAAGGGAGGGGGGAAGGGACCATAGATTGGTACGGATGTCTCTTCCTCTTTCTCGGGGCACATAGGACAGTGCTCTTGCAGCTGGATCCTCCTCCTCATTTTCCCCATTGACCCTTGCACACCGCCGTCTTGGTCATACCACCCCCACAACATTGCAACAGATGGCTCGGGGGAACAGTGTACTGTGCTTGGAGATTGAGGGGGGGGAGCACTAATTGCTCTCCATGTGAGCCTTGCTTATTGGGAAAGTCGGCTCAAAAACTGTTTCCCCATGAGGCGTCTCGGGCCTTTGGATGAGGTCCACATTGACTTGTGGGGGCCAGTGCGCACACCGTCACTGGGAGGAGCGGTGTATGTCCCCCGTCTCATTGACGACTTCACCAGACGAGTTTGGTCGTTCCCACTCCCCAACAAGGAATCGATCACAGTCTCAAAAGTCCTTCGCTAGTGGCAGAAGGATGTGGAGTTGGAGTGTGGGCGGAAGCTGAAGGCTGTTTGCTCAGACAGGGGTGACGAGTTCTTTGGGGAAGCTGTGAAAGCATGGAAGGCAGAGTTTGGCATTAAAACTCAACTGAGTGTCGCAGATACACCACAACAGAATGGGATGGTGGAGAGGTGGCATAGGACGATGGCAGAGGGGATCCGCACATTGTTGGTCAACAGTGGTCTCCCTGCTCGCTTCTGTTGTGAAGCATTGATGTGGGTTGTGTGGGTTAAGAATCGGGTCACCCACAGTGCTTTGCCTGCCTCCATCACCCCAATGGAGGCATGGTCGAGCCAGAAGCCGCATGTGGGCATAGCTCGGATTTGGGGTTACATAGGGAGTGTCATGTTGCATAGGCATGAGAAGGGTGGCAAGCTTCATGCACGCGCCGTCATGTGAGTATGTGTTGGGGTGGACATGGAGAGCAAGGGTTGGCGCATGCTGGACCCTTCTCTCATGCGCATTCGCATTGCTCGAGATGTTGATTTTCTTGAGAATGTGATGTGGAAGGATTGGGACAACGCCAAGGGCTTTGGGGAGCTCCTGCAGGATGCCGCTGAGATTTTCCAGCTCCTCCCCTTTCCACTCTCTCCACCCTCATTAGCGGCTGATGACGCTGATATGCCACCTTCACCACCACCATCGGCTCCGCTGAGTGTGTCAGGGCAACAGGAGCCTGCCCTTCTTCAGCAGCTCAGCGGTCCTTCGGTCATTCAGCGGAGATCCACTCACCAGGCTTCTTCCTCTTCCTCCTCCTCTGGTCAGCGCCCTGTCACTCTCTCTACGAGTGCACCTACGTCACCCACGACTACCTCCCCACCACTGGTTACAGGTTTGCAGGTACTTGGTATCCAGTCTGGTGTAGGTGGTGAGGAGGTAGGAGGGGATGCTAGTGTGGTTGAGGGTATGCTGTGCTTGACCAGGGAGGTGGAGGGTGTTGCGCTAGCAGGTGTGAGCACCAGTGATGTCCCACACACGCTTGCTGAGGCATTGAGTGGCCCTGAGGGCCCTGCATGGAAGGCAGGTGCTGAGAAGGAGGTGAATGCCATGCGCACTACGGGTGTATGGGATCCAGAGCCGGTTGACTTATCTCTAGGCAAGAAAGCCATTGAGGTCAAGTACGTTTTCTGCAGGAAAACTGACAAGGAGGATAAGGTGGTACAGCACAAGGTTCGCCTTGTTGCTAAGGGGTATACTCAAGAGCCCGAGAAGGACTTTGATCAGGTATTTGCCCCTGTGGGCAAGCTCACCTCACGTCAGGTGCTTCTTGCAGAAGCCGCGGTAAAAGGGTGGCATGTACAACAGGAGGATGTTGATCATGCTTACCTCAATGCAGTTCTTCAAGAGGAGGTGTATGTGAGGCAGCATGAGGGATTTGATTATGTTACAGGTAGAGTGTATAACTTGCGCAAAGCTCGTTATAGGCTCAAGCAAGTGCCTCGTGCTTTGAATGAGGAGATTGGTACCACCCTGATTGCAGCATAGTTTGACCGCAGTGCTAGCGATGAGGCTTTGTACAACATGTTTGTGGATGAAGAGCTTGTGTATGTATTGGTGTATGTGGATGACCTCTTGCTTGTGTCTCCACGCTTGGAGCTGATCGGTCAGGTCAAGGAGGTGCTTGCTCAAAGTTACCAGATGAAGGACTTAGGTGAGGTATCCACGTACCTTGGTGTGGAGGTTCGCAGGTCGATCAAGGATGGGTGGTTGGAGATTGGTCAGGAGAAGTATGTTCGTGGTCTTCAGGGAAATTTTGGTGATATGCTGAAGGAGACACATAGGGTGCACACTCTTATGTCACCTAATGATCTCTCTAAGATCATGAAAGGTTCTTGGTCGAGTGAGGAAGGTGCTGCAGCTGATGTTAAGGTGCACCAGAGTCTCATTAGCAGCTTGATGTATGATGTTGTGACTACCCGTCCTGACATGTCCTTCACTGTCAACACCCTTGCACAGTCCTGCGTGGCACCAAGATGCATTCACATGCACGCTGCACTAAAAGCACTCAAGTACTTGGTCGATGCTGATCGTGTCATCAAGTATGTGTCAGAATCTAGCAGGAGAATGAATGAACTATGAAAGAGTTGGGTACAAGTACTAACCCTAATTGGGTTGTACCCCATATAAGCTACCCCACTACAGCCTACACAACACAATGTTCTGACACACCTCCATAGGCAAAGTGGGGGAGTACAAGCAATCACAGAAAAGCAAAGAAAGCTCAGGGTGGATCGAAGTTACCATGCAGTCCGAGCACAAGCAAATGGCCACAAGGCCAGTTCACATGCAGAGTTATATAAAACAGAGCAAACAGTACAGTGATCACAACCTAGCAAGTGTAAGCATGCAGGTATAAATATAGATCACAGTACAAGCAAAGTCACGCAGTGAGCAAGTGAGAAAACGTAGGCACAAGGCCTAAAGCAGTACAGAAACGCTGATGATCACCAGACGGAAGTGCCTTGGTGAATATATCAGCTGTGTTGGCCCGAGTGGCCACGTAAGCAAGACGAAGCTGACCACGCTGCTGCAACTCTCGAGCAAGGAAGTAACGCAGAGCGATGTGCTTCGTTTAGTGCTCCAGTCTGTGCACCTGACACAAGGCAATCGCATCCTTGTTGTCTACGTACAGAACTGGAGGGGAACGAGGCCCCTCTCCCAAGTCGGTCAGCAGGTAGGTGAGCCAGCGTAGCTCCTGTGCAGCCATGGCTCCTGCGTAGATCTCAGCCTCACAAGTGGAGCTGAGAACAGAAGACGAGCGAGTAGAACGCCACGAAACAGAGCCGAAGCCAAGGCTGAAGGTGTAACCCTGTGACAACCGCTGCGTAGCCAGGTCGTCAACCCAAGAGGCGTCTGAGTGTCCAGTGAGGACAACTCGACCCTGTCCTCCAAGCGGAAGCCCCATGCCTGATGTACTGCACAAGTAGCGCAGCACCCTCTTAGTAGCCTCCCAGTGCTCTCGCCGGTGTCTCCCGGGCGCAACGTAGCGAGCCACGATGCTAAAAAGGTATGCAAGGTCAGATCAAGTGCAGCTCATCAGGTACATGAGGCAGCCCACAAGCTCTGGATACGGGTCACTCGGCTCTACGGACTCGTCCGGAGGTGGAGCTGAGAGCGAGTGACCGGTAGGCAGAGGAGTGGACTGTAGCGAGGAGAACTGGAAGCCAAAGCGCTGAAGGACCTGCTGCACCATGTGTGACTGAGTTAGGGTGATGGTGCGGCGTGCTCTGTCCCGGGTGATCTGCAAGCCAAGGTAGCTGCGTAGCTCACCCAGGTCTGTGCACGTGTGTCTCTTCTGCAGCTCCAACTTCACAAGGGCCAGTGCCTCAGTGTCAGCAGTGGCAAAAACCAAGTCGTCGACGTACACAAGGATGTAGAACGGCGGCAGTGAAGTGTCTGTGCGCAGAACAAGCGGCGGGTCAGCAGTCGAAAGAGCCGCAAGTGTCATCCTCAGTGTGTCGTGCCACTCACGAGGCGCCTGGCGGAGACCGTATACTGGTCGTCGGAGGCTCCACTGGGTACCTGCAGGAAACGACCCAGTGAAGCCAGGTAGATGGCGCAGCCAGATCTCCTCGTGCAGGCTGCCCTGTAAGAAAGCTGTGCTGAAGTCAAGAGAGTGCAGCTCGTAGTCACGCTGAGCGGCAACGTGCAGCAGCACCCGAAGAGTGGTCATCTTCGGGGTGGGGGAGAAGGTCTGGAAAAAATCAATTCCCTGTCACTCACTGAAGCCTCGTATAATGTAACGAGCCTTGAAGACAGGCGGAGAGCCCGGCGGCCGCTTCACCCTGAAAATCCACATGCCATCGACTATGTTCGCCCCAGGAGGGGGAACTGCGTCGACGTAAGTGCCTGTGGACTTCCAAGATGCCATCTCTGCGTCCATAACTATCTGCCACTGAAAGGAGTAGGGACCCAAAGTCGACTCTGCGTAAGAGCGCGGGGTCGGGATGTCCAGTGCATCCGGGTCTCCCTCAGGTGCAAGCAGCCAGGCCATGAGATGAGGTACAGCAGACGCAAGACACTCAAAGTCCTCGTGCCTGTCCTCAAGGACGTTCGTGCCAAGAGCACACTCACCCGCGACGGACGGAGGACAGACAGACTCAAACTCAGCAACAAGACTAGCGGCGTAGTCTAGACGACACGCAGCAGCAAAGTCCACAAGCTCAGCAACTAAGGCAGACGCAACAGTAGACTCAAACGACGGGTCAGTGACGAATGTGGCCAGGAGACGTGTGATAGCGGGGCTGGCAGCACGAACCAAGTCAGAAGCAGGGTCCGAGACGTTAGGAAGAGAGGACACAGGAGGAGACGGCAGGAGGACACGCTGTAGAACAGAGGAAGGACGAAGTGCCATAGTGTGAGTACCTGTCACATGAGGAGGACGCGGATGAGGGATACGACGAGCACGGCGAACAGTGCGAACAGGGGAGGCAGGACGAGACGCAGGCTCATGACGCTCTATAAGGGAGACTGGCTGCTCAACGTAACGAGGGGGGGCAGGCAGCGGTGAGTCTGGAGGAAGGGCAGTGGACGAAGGAAGACTAAGAACCTGACAGAGCACCGACCCGGCCGGTAGTGAGGACAGCTGCGGCGGCGGCAAGAAAAACGGGCGCTGCTGCACAGGGCCTCCAGCTCCAGCACCTCCAGCTCCAGCACCTCCAGCTCCAGCGCCTCCAGCTCCAGTGCCTCCAGCTCCAGCACCTCCGGCTCCAGCGCCTGCACCTCCAGAGCCTGTAGTGCCAGTGCCTCCAGCTCCAGTACCTCCAGCTCCAGCGCCTCCAGCGCCAATGCCTCCAGCTCCAGTGCTTCCAGATCCAGTGCCTCCAGCTCCAGCGTCTCCAGCGGTAGTGCCTCCAGCTCCAGCACCTCCAGCTCCAGCGCCTCCAGCGCCAGTGCCTCCAGCTCCAGTGCCTCCAGCTCCAGCGTCTCCAGCGGCAGTGCCTCCAGCGCCAGCGCCTCCAGCTCCAGCGCCTGCAGCTCCAGTGCCTCCAGCTCCAGTGCCTCCAGCTCCAATGCCTCCAGCTCCATCAGCGCAACTCCGAAGGCGGGTGCGCCGAGCAAACCACTCGTGCAGCTGCTGTGGAGAGAGAGGCTCTCGCTGGCCAGACCGCTGCGGCGAGGCACCCAGAGGACCACCAGCAGACGCAACACCACCAGGCTCAGCACCTCCAGACTCAGCACCCCCCAGGCTCAGCACCGCCAGACGCAGCACCCCGAGCAGCTCCAGCGTCTCCAGCCGGAGCGCCTCCAGCTCCAGCGCCTCCAGTTCCAGGGCCGCCAGCCCCAGTGCCTCCAGCTCCAAAGCCTCCAACTCTAGGGTCTCCAGCTCCAACGCCTCCAGCTCCAGCTGTGCCACCCCGAAGGCGGGTGCACCAAGTAAACCACTCGCGCAGCTGCTGTGGTGAGAGAGGCTCCCGCCGGGTAGACGCAGTACCCCTAGGCTCAGCACCCCCAGGCTCAGCACCCCCAGGCTGCGTACCCTCAGGCTCAGCACCCCCAGGCTCCGCACCCGCAGGCTCAGCACCCCCAGGCTCCTCACGCTCAGGCTCAGCACCCCCAGGCTCCGCACCCGCAGGCTCAGCACCCCCAGACGCAGCACCCCTAGCAGCACCACCCCCAGCAGCACCAGAGTCACCAGTGACCTCGACAGGCTCAGCCAAGGGAAGTGGGTCTACCTGAGAGACACCTGAAGGAGCAGGACCCTGAGGGGGAAGGGGGTCTACCGGAGGGGGACCTGGAGCGAGGAAGAGCGGCAGGGGTGCGGGGAGAGGGGCAGTGTGGTAGGGGAAGAGATGGTAGAAGTAAACCGACTCGTCAAACGTGACGTCCTGAGAGGACAGAACACGGCGCGAGGTGGGATGGTAAAACTGCCAGCCAGGCGCGTCAGGGGGAAAGCCAAGGAAGACGCAGGGAATGGCGCGAGAGGAGAGCTTGTCCACGGTGGTATCACGGACAAATGCATGAGAGCCCCAGACACGGAACACCGACGCATCACCAACCTCCCCCGTCCAACGCAGTGTAGGCGAGGTCTCCGGCAAGGAGACACGAGGCCAGAGGTTGAGCTGATGCGCGACGTACCGGACCGCAAACGGCCACAGAAAATGGGGAGCAGCTGCATGGACCATGGAGGTACAAGCCACCTCGAAGACTAAGCCAATGCGGCGCTCAGCAATCCCATTCTGCTGCGGAGAGGCCGGAAGCATGAACGACTGCTCGATGCTCTCCCCACGACAAAAGTCCCGCAAGAGGTCGGAGGAGAACTTACCACCTCTGTCAGAGTGCAGACGCAGGACAGGAAGGTCCGTGCGGAACCGTTCGCGGAGCTGGAGACGAACAGCTTGGATCCAAGGGATCAAGATATTAGGGACCTCCCCCGTAACGCGAGTAGTCGTCAACAACCAGCAGAAAGTATCGCTCGCGGCCCTGTCCACTGACGCGGGCTGGGCCCCACACGTCCATGTGGAGAGTCTGCAGGGGAGCAGTCGTCGGGGGAAACGAGGAGGAGTGAGGGGTGGCGCGCTGCCGCCCCTCGACGCAAAGAAGGCAGGGCGGGGCAGGCGGGGAGGCAGAGACCTGGGAAGACTAGAGACAAGGAGGCGGGAGTGCATGCTGCGGAGGCGAGGCAGGGAGGGGTGACCAAGGCGATGGTGCCAAAGGAGAGTCTGATGCGACTGGAGGCGACACGAGCAGGGGGCTGCTAGCGGACCTGACGCGGACACCTGACCAGACGCAGTTACCTGAGGAGGCTCAGTAGTGAGTGTGTACAGAACCGACCCAAGCCGACGAGTGGACGTGGCCAAGTGACGGCCAGTCCGTGCGCACGTGCAGATTGTCACACGCTGGCCCCCAGAAGTGGTGGTAGTGGCCATCTCATCCTGGAGGGCAGCGGTACTCACCAAGTTCGTAGAGAACGAGGGGAGGTGAAGACCTGAGAGTGAGCCAGACGGAACCGCCGGACACGGGAGAACAGTGGAGGAACGTGCAAGAACTGCCCCCCTTGAGGGGTCAGCCAGAGAGACTGCAACAGGTGCAGGGAGTGGTGTGAGTGTGGTACTGTCGCGAAAGAAGCAGCGGGAAGCACCTGAGTCAAGCGTGAAGGTGTGCAAGGCCTCAGTAGGCGCAGTACCAGAGAGAGCAGACTCACTTCAGCAAGAGCAGCAGCCTCTATACCTGGGTCAGGCAGCACACACAGGTAACAGTCACCCTCAGTACCAACAGTCAAAGCATACATGGCAGTAAGGATAGCGTCATAGTCTAGAGCAAATATATCCACATTGTTCCGAAGCAGCTCTAGCCAGCGGGGGAGCTCAGCCTCGTCGCCAAACTCTGCGCGCCAGGCGTCGCTCAGACAGGAGAAGCGGCAGGACTGTGTGTGGCCAACTGTCCCGCAAGTCTGACCAGCCTGATCACCTGTGCGAACAATGTACGGGCAGCGAGCAGTACTCCGAGACGCCTCACGCTGAGCGTGCCACTCACGAAGCTGCTGGGACGTAAGGGTCTCACACTGACGCCGCTGCAGCTGCATCTGGCCACTGCCAGAAACTCCCCACTGAACAGCTCCACCGTGACTGCCATGACGGCCGCCGCCACCACTCCCACTGCTGCCACCACCGCCGCCACCACTCCCACCGCTACCACGAAGAGAAGTCATAGCGGGCAAAGCAAGGAGGCGTGCGACCAGCAGGGCAGCACGCAGGGAAGGCAGTGCGGCGAGCAGGCACTAGGGTTAGCGCGTAGGGTAGGGCGGGGCGGCGCACGGTTAGGGAAGGGTGGGGCGCGGCCAGAGCAGGGCGGCACGCTGCAAGTAGGGCGGCGCGCGAGCAGGGGAGGGCGCGCGGGCAGGCAAGGGGCAGCGCGCAGGCTGCAAAGGGCGACGCGCGGGCTGCCAGGGCGGCGCGCGGGCTGCCAGGGGCGGTGCGCGAGCTGCAAGGGCGGCGCGCGGGCAGGAAAGGGCAGCGCGCGGGCTGCAAAGGGCGGCGCGCGGGCTGCAAGGGCTGCGCGTGGGCTGCCAGGGGCGGTGCGCGGGCTGCCAGGGGCGGTGCGCGGGCTGCAATGGTGGCGCGCGGGCAGGAAAGGGCAGCGCGCGGGCTGCAAAGGGCGGCGCGCGGGCTGCAAGGGCGGCGCGCGGGATGCAAGGGGCGGTGCGCGGGCTGCAATGGCGGCGCGCGGGCAGGAAAGGGCAGCGCGCGGGCTGCAAAGGGTGGCGCGCGGGCTGCAAGGGCGGCGCGCGGGCTGCCAGGGGCGGCGCGCGGGCTGCAAAGGGCGGCGCGCGGGCAGGGCCAGGCGCGTGCAGGCGGTGTGACGCAGGGTTGGTGAGACTGATGGCAAGAGTTGCTTTGCCAACGTCTTTAAGTTGCGAGGAGGAGCTATCAGCTGGTATAGCAAAAGGCAAGACAGTACTGCAACAAGTGTTTCTGAAGCTGAGTGTAAAGCTCTATCAGATAGGGCTAAGTAAACCATTTGGATGAGAAGTTTGTTGGCAGAGATGCATGTGGGCGATGGGGGGGGGCTATTCCATTGTTCTTTGATAACGAGGCTGCTATCTCCCTTGCCCACAATCCCATTAGCGCACCAAGCACATTATGGTGGCTTGGCACTTTGTACGGGATGTGGTGCGCCAACAGGAGGTCGAGGTGCACTTAGTACGCTCCCACCTCCAGGATGCCGACATGCTCACCAAAGCTCTCCCAAGCTTGCAGCTGCATGAGAATCTGCGCATCTGCATGCGAGTGATGGCTTCAAAGGCCAAGGCTTCATTCGCTAAAGGAGTTGTGTTTTAATTGATGGGTGAACTTTAATGCTTATCGGAGCAAGGACGGGGGGTGTTGGAATCATGGTTAGCTCAGGTTGCTCCAATGAACATATGTAGTGCTAGATTTACACTATAGTAGAGTAGGATACATTGGTTGGGTTGGGAGAACTTGTGGTGTACACTCTTTAGAGTAGACCACCTCTTAGAAACTAACTACAGCGGAAATGAGTTGCATTGAATGGATTGGGGTACATATTCCTAACCCTAACTGTTTGTACCCCCTACTGCACAACCCATTAACGGCTAGAACATTTGACACACCCCCATAGCCTAAGTGGGGAGTGCAAAGTAACAACAAGCAACCTAAGGTCACAAGACCAGTCATAAACAAGAGACAAAACAAAGCTCAGGGTGGATCACAACGTCACCACACAGTCTGAGCGCAAACAGCGGCCACAAGGCCAGTTCAAGAGTGTATATGCAAATATATACAATACAAGCAAAGAGAAGAGGCAAGAACTCACTACTGCAGTCTACTAGACCCAGTCTCAACGAGGCCTAACTGCAGACAGAACCGGCGGTGGTCACAAGGCTGAAGAGCCTTGGTGAAGATGTCTGCAGTGTTGGCCTCGGAGGCCACGAAGTCCAGACGTGCCTGTCCACGTCTCTGCAACTCTCGAAGGAGGAAGTACCTGACGTCGATGTGCTTCACTCTGCTCTCCAGTCGAGGCTCACGACACAGGAGAATCATCGCCTTGTTGTCAGCAAACAAGGTCGGTGCAGAGCTCAGCCGCTCACCAAGGTCAGTGAGCAAGAAGGTCAACCAGCGCAGCTCCTGTGCAGCAAGGGCTCCAGCGTAGATCTCGGCCTCTGCGGTAGAAGTCGCAACAGAGGAGGACCGAGTAGACCTCCACGAAACAGCTCCAGAGCCCAGACTGAAACAGTAACCCTGCGTAGACCTCTGAGTCTCAACGTCGTCGGCGTACGAGGAGTCGCAGTGACCGGTGAGTACAACTGGCTGTGTCCCTCCAAGTACAAGCCTCGTGTCTGATGTCGTGGCGAGGTACTTCGCCACCCTCTTAGCAGCTGTCCAGTGGACAGGACGGTGTCTCCCAGTCGCAACAAAGCGAGAAAGGATGCTAAGAGGGAAGGCGAGGTCCGGGCGAGGGCGCGTCATCAGGTACATGAGGCAGCCCACCAGCTCTGCATAGGGACCACTGGGCTCGAACGGCTCGTCAAGAAAAGGCCCAGTGAGTCTGTGGTCTACAGCAAGAGGGGTGGGTGTAGGAGAGGAGTGCTGAAGCCCGAACCGCTGAAGGACCTGCTGCACCATGTGTGACTGAGTAAGAGTAATGGTGCGAGCGGCTCTGTCCCTGGAGATCTGCAGGCCAAGGTAGCGGCGCAGTTCCCCAAGGTCAGTGCACGTGTGTCTCTTCTGCAGTTCGGACTTCACCTCCGCCAGTGCAACTGTGTCTGCTGTGGCAAAAACCAAGTCGTCAACGTAGACCAAAACGAAGAAAGGTGTGCGCCCACGACGAACAAACAGCGACGGGTATGCAGAAGACGGCTCAAACCCGAGCTCGGACAGAGTAGAGCGAAGAGTGTCGTGCCACACAAGGGGTGCCTGGCGGAGACCGTAGACCGGTCGTCTGAGGCTCCACTGGGTCCCAGGCGGGAAGGTGCCAGTGAAGCCCGGAGGACGACGCAGCCAGATCTCCTCGTGTAGGCTGCCCTGGAGGAAGGCAGTGGAGAAGTCAAGAGAGTGTAGCTCGTAGTCTCTCTGTGCTGCTACGTGAAGTAACACCCGAAGAGTGGTCATCTTCGGGGTGGGCGCGAAGGTCTGAAAGAAGTCAACCCCCTCGCGCTGACTGAACCCTCTAGCCACGTAGCATGCCTTGAAGACTGGGGGAGATCCCGGCGGCCGCTTCACCTTGAAGATCCAAATTCCGTCAACTATGTTCGCCCCTGGGGGGGGAACCTCGTCAACGTAAGGGCCTGTGGACCCATAGGAGGCCATCTCTGCGTCCATGGCAGCTCTCCACTGAGAGGCCCAAGGCCCTGACACTGCCTCAGCGTAAGTGCGAGGAGTAGGTATGTCAGGAGCGTCGGGGTCTCCCTCAGGAGCGAGCAGCATGGCACAGAGATGAGGCGAAGCGGCTGCCAGGAACTCTAGCTCAAACTGTCTATCCTCTAGGACGGCACAGCCAAGGGCAGACTCACCCCCGGCGGACAGAGGACGGACAGGAGGAGCGGCCACAACACGAGTGGCGTAGTCAAGGCGACGCGTAGCAGTAAAGTCAGTGACAGCGGCAGTGAGGACCGCGACAGAGGAAGGAGAGGCACTGGGGTCTGTAACAAGAGAGGCGAGAACACGAGAGAGAGTGGGGCGGTACGTGCGGTAGTAGTCAGTGACCGGAGTGGACAGGGAGGCAGTGAGGGACGACTCAGGAGGACGAGGAAGAACAGACGGAGGAGGACGAGGAGGACTAGGACGAGACAACAGGGTACGGAGGTCAGTGACAGGTGACGAGGGACGAGCACGAGGAGGACGAGAGGCCCAAGTGTGGGCGAGAGGAGAGGGAGACGGAGGAGACTGAGAACGAGGGAACACAGCCGGAGCTGAGTCCGGAGGAGGAAACGTAGGACCGAACACAGGAGGAGAGGAGGGGAGACCAAGGGTCCGAAGGTCAGTAACAGGGGCCGGAGGCTGCTCCGGCTGCTGCGGCTGCTGCTGCTGCTGCGGCGGCGGCTGCTGCTGCTGCTGCTGCCGCTGGTGCTGCTGCTGCAGCTTCCGCTGCAACTCCAACCTCTCACGCTCCACCCGCTGCTGAACCTCCAACCTCTCACGCTCCAAACGCTGCTGCTCCTCACGCTCAAGACGAAGACGGGCCTGGTGTCGAGTCGGGTAGGAGTGAGGAGGAGGAGTGGTGGCAGGGGACGAAGAAGAGGAACCGGCCCCACCCTCGACAGGACCCGGCTAAGCACCCCCAGAGCAAGTAACCCCCTGCGGCAGCACGACCAGCACCAGTAGGAGGTGTACCCGCACCCCCAGTCGTGGTGCCTCCAGTGGCACCAGCACCAGCCCCAGACTCTCCAGCTCCAGAAACACCACCAACGCCAGCACCACCACCAGCTCCAGCACCCTCAAAACGGGCAGCTGCGGCAGGTGCACCCTCAGCTCCAACGCCAACACCCTCAGAATGGGCGGCTCCTGTAGGTGCACGAACAGCTCCAACGCCAGCACCCCCAGAGTGACACCGCCAGAGCCCTCACCTCGAGCACCAACACCCTCAGAGTCCGCAGTGGCCGGTAAAGGAAGCGCTGACGGCTGCTGCGGAGGCTGTGAGGACGACTATGGGAAAGGAGGAGAGACCTGGGGGGGGAGTAGCGTGGGACACACCAGACGGAGCGGGAACAGGGGGGGGTACCGGAGGAGCAGGGGCGGGAGGAGGAGGAGCTGGAGCCAGGAAGAGGGGAGGGGGGGGAACCGGGAGACCTCGACAGGGGTACCGGACGTAGTAGGGGACGGACTCGTCGAAACGGACGTCACGAGAGTCAAAGAATTGGTGGGAGGGAGGGTGGTAAAAGGTGAAGTCAGAGGAGTCCTCTGGGAAACCAAGGAAGACACAGGGAATGGTGTGAGGCGAGATCTTGTCCGCAAAGGTGTCGCGGACAAGAGCCAAGCAGCCCCAGACACTAAACCTCGACGCAACACCAGGGGACCCTGTCCAAAGACTGGTCGGTGAAGCCCCTGGCCGAGAGACGCGAGACCAGAGGTTCAGCTAGTGGAGCGGCGTACCGAGCCGCGTAGGGCCACAGAAAATGGGGCGCGCGGGCGTGGATCATGGAGGTGCGGGCAATCTCCATGACCAGGCCTATGCGACGCTCAGCAACCCCATTCTGCTGTGGAGAGTCTGGAAGAGTCCAGGACTGGGTGATGCCCTGCTCAGCACAGAATCTGGTGATAACGCCAGCGGAGCGAAACTCACCCCCACGGTCAGAGTGGAGACAACTGACACGACGACGGCGAGTACTCTCGGTGGCGAGCAGCCACCGGATCAGCGTAGAAGTCACGTCAGACTTCTTCGCCAAAGGGAACACGGTGGTGTACCGAGAGTAGTCGTCAACGACCACCAGAAAGAAACTCTCCCGCTCAGGGCCAAGACGGCGAGCGGGGCCCCAGACGTCCAAGTGGAGAGTCTCGAAGGGCTCGGTGGCCGGACGAAGGGAGGAGTGAGGGGTGGCGCGCAGCCGACCCTGGACACAAGGACCGCACGGAGGAGCTGGGGACGGCGGGAGCGGCGGAAGGACTCGCGGGAGGCCTAAGACAAGACGCTGACTGGACATAGCGCGGAGACGAGGGAGGGACGGGTGACCAAGGCGGTGGTGCCAGAGGAGGGAGGGGTGGGCAAGCGACCGACACGAGCACGATACAGCAACCTGACCGGACACAGCAACCTGACTGGACTCGGCTACCTGGTGGGACGGAGGAACCTGACGGGGGTCGGTGTGGAGGGTGTACAGACCGGAGCCCGGCTCCTGGCGAAAAGTGGCCAAGGGGGCGTACGTGTCACCGTCCACACAGACTGCAGTGTCACCAGAAGGCTCAACCCAGACCCCGACGTGCTGTCTCGCCAGGGGGCCCACACCAACCAGGTTCCTAGAGAACGTAGGAACGTGGAGGCCAGTCAGGGAACCGGAAGGGGCAGCTGGGCACGGGAGGGTAGTGGCGTGAGTCGCAATGACCGGTCCCGAGGAGGGATCGGCCAGTGCTATAGAGACTGACGCCGGCAGTGGAGAGAAAGTCGTGTGGTCGCGGAAGAAACATTGCGTCGCTCCCGAGTCCAGTGTGAACGAGAGAGACGCGTCCGCCGAAGGAGGACCTGTACTACTAGCTAAACAAGATCCTACACTAGCACCTACTCTAGCAACAGGCAAAGATCCTACGCTAGGTACAGGCAAGTACACAGATCCAGCAGCACTATAGTCAACATCAGCATACATGACATAAGACCTAGCATCACCCATAGGCATATAAAAAACAGAGATGCCACGAGCAAGAAGTGTCCCCCAGCGTGGCGGTGGGGGAGTAGAAGGGCCGTGGTGCAAGCGGTAGAGGTCGTCGAGACGACTGAAGCAGCGTGCAGCAGAGTGGTCAGGGCGGCCACAGTACGAGTCCCTACGTGGACCCGTAAGGATCCAGTACTCACAGGGACCAACGTCGCGGCTGGCCAAGCGAGGTCCCCAGCTGGAGGGGGCGCCGCTGCGCCCAGTGCTCGGGGGACCCGCGGACCTCCACTGTTGCGGAGGGCCCCACGGCTGGGGTTGCTGCTGTGGTGGGCGCTGCTGCTGGCCCTGTCGCTGCTGCTGCTGTCCCTGCCGCTGCTGCTGTCCAGGCGGTGGAAGCTGCTGGGAAGCCGGCTGCTGCTGCTGGTGGAGCCCCTCACCACCAGTGAAAACGCCACCCTCGAGAGGAGGGCCGTCAGTTCCCAAGCCACCCCCACCACCACTCCCACCACCTGCTCTACCGCCACAGCCACCACTACCCGCACCACCTCCAGTACCCCCGCCGCCCTTCCCGCCCTTCTTACCGCCCTTGCCACGTTTCTGTCCGCCAGAGACAGAAACAGCCGCCGTCTCCTCAGAGGCAGAAGACGTGGGGGTGGCAAGTGAGGCAGTGAAGGTGGGAAGCTGCGGCACCGCACACCCCTCAAAGAGACGAGGAGGAGGCGCGGAAGAGGCAGAGGCAACAGTGAGGAGGTTACTCTCGATCTTCGAGAGAGCAGTCTCAAGAAGATCGATAGTAAGCTCAGTGGGGTGCTGCAGAAGAAGCGCGTCGCGGGCTGTGGCTAGGCGGTCAGGGAGGCGAGTGACTAGCCAGTGAATAGTGAGCCACATAGGGGGCGGGGCAAGGGCAAGCTGGTCCTCAGTGCAAGCAGCGCGAAAGCGAGCGTCAAGGGAGCGAAGGTGGGTAGCGAGGTCGGAAACAGTCTCAAAGGAGGCGAGGTCACGGTAGATAAAGGGCACGAGAAGGCGACTGAGGGAGGCAGAGGAGGGAGTGGAGTAACGAGCAACAATGACCTTATACAAATCGGCGGCGGACTCGACCTGAGTGAAGTGGACCGCCTCTGTCGGCGGGAGAAGATCGGTCAGAGCGAGGCAGGCAGCGGCGTCACAAGACTCCCACACGTCCCGAGCTAAGAACTAACGCTGGTACTCGGCCTCCTGCTCAGGAGTAGGCGGTGGGGTAGTGGGCAGCGGTTTAGGCTGCGGAGGGGCGGTCTGAGTACCAGACACGTGCGCGAACAGGTGCACGCCATCCTGCCGCTGGCTCTTAAGGTGGCGCTGCGCCTGCGTAAGCCACGTACTAAAGTCAATCGGTCTCCCCTCAGGGTCAAAACGAAGTACTCGAGATGTCGCCATAGGGGGCGAAACTGAGAGAGCGCGGCTACCAGCCGCGGGAGGGTGAGGCAGTAAGTGGCGGGTGGCAGGCGCGCAGGCGGGCCGGCGGGCGTGCGGGATGATAGGTGCGCAGGCGAGCCGGGCAGTGCGCTGGCGGGCTGGCGGCTCAGCGCGCTGGCGAGTAGGCGGCGATGCGCGCTGGCTGGCGGGCGGCGCGGCGCACTAGCGTACGCGCTGGCGGGCGCGCTGGCGGGCACGCTGGCGGGCGCGCTGGCGGACGCGCCGGCGGGCGCGCTGGCGTGCGCGCTGGCGTGCTCGCTGGCGTGTGCGCTGGCGTGCGTGCTGGCGGGCGCGCTGGCATGCGCACTGGCGGGCGCGCTGGCGGGCGCGCTGGCGTATGCGCTGGCGTGCGCGCTGCCGGGCGCGCTGACGTGCGCGCTGGCGAGTGCACTGTTGTGCGTGTGGGCTGGCTGGCGCGCTGGCGGGCTACTAGGCTAGCGCGCTAGGAGGGCGTGAGAGAGGGAGGGGTCGGCGGGCTGGCGTGGAAACAACGAGCGACGGGCGGTCTGAGTGGCATGCTAGGAACGGCCTAGGAACGAGGAACCTACTGCTGATACCATCTCAGAAACTAACTACAGCGGAAATGAGTTGCATTGAATGGATTGGGGTACATATTCCTAACCCTAACTGTTTGTACCCCCTACTGCAAAACCCACTAACGGCTAGACCATT